CATATCATTCCATCTATCTCAGCTAGACCCACTAGCCAATTTGCATTACATTTAAAGAAAAGACAACAACTATAACTGGCGCAATCCATTCGGGTGTATCCAGGATTTAGGATTGAATATCACTTTTGCCAAGGATATTTTGAAGGATGAAGGAGAAGGCTATAGTTGGCTCCAATGACTCCCAACACTCGGCCAAGTTCCATCCAGGATTTCTAAATTGTACGTCCAAGAATCTATTGCTTTTGGCAAAGGGATGCAGATTGAGTAATTTATTAATCAACAATTTCCAAATTCCCTGTCGATCAGAGGGGAAAACGTGGACAAATCACCAATTACTTGAGTGTGAATGTACCAAGCATTTTTATGCAAGTAAAGTTTTAGTAATGGTATTCATGTCCATGGGAGATATAAATATAATTGGTACTTTGAGAGTTACAAAATGCCAAATGTCCTGATAAATTGCAAAGGTCATGGCTTTGAACAAAATTCAAAAGGGTGATCGCACATTAAATACAAGAAATATGATGACTATGACCCAAGACCAAAGGTGGAAAACCCCTTTATATTCAGAAATCTGCTTTTCTTCTCCTCAAAGTTCAACTAGTCCACACTCCAAATGGTGGGCCATTTTGGTTTTTATACATAATTTTAAATAAATAAATAAATGACCTTCTGCTTCTTCAACTTTCTTTATATACAATGTCGCATTCAACTATACATCAAAGACATCTTAGAGCTTTGAATTTTGACGCCCTTTTGGACTATGGATGGAAGGTTCCTCTATTTCCTATATGAATAAAGCCACTGGAAAGTCTACTATAAGTTGAAGACTCTAATTATTTGTTGCTTAAGCAGTTTGGCATATATAGGCTTCAAATTTCAATGAATTCGCCCCGCACTTTGATTCATGTGATTTCTTAAGTGTAGCTAGCTATAAAGACTCAGCTATCAATTTTAAAGTTTCGTTCATAAAGTTTGTCTCTATGATCTGAAAAAGAGCTAATAATTAGACATATATAATTCCTGGATATCATGGTTAGTTACCAAAAGAAAAAAAGAGTTATAGCATGATTAAGAATGTGACTTTGATTAGAGACATCTTGAGTTTTGGTGTGGTTGTATAGCCAGTTGGGCTGCTGTCCTGGGCTTTTAACAAATCGCCAGCAAACTTGAAATTTGATATCCCTCAGCCATTCATTACTTTGAAAAAGATTCTCCCCTTGCTTTTCTCATTTCTTTAATCTGCTTTAACTATAACCCAATAGAAAGTGACCCATTTAAGAGATTTAATCAATTGTATTTGCCTTAGCTTTCTTCTCAAATTCTTTACATTTTTAAATGATAACAAGTGAATGTGATGCATGCCTTCTACCTCACAACAAGCCATTAATTTCTCCTTTTCTTTTTCTTGTAACAGAAATGTACATATTATATATATATATATATATATATATATATATATATATATATATTTTCTTCTTGAATCAACGCCTCTTTCTAACTTTTTCTTTTTGGGTTTTCACAATTAGGGAAACTACCTTTCAGTCTTCATCCTTTTGTCCACGTCATGACAATGTCATCAATCCTTTCTATACCAAATCCACTCCTTGAGTGGCATTATCACAAGATAAAAGTTTTTAACCTTCCCTTAGTCCGGAGTGCCTTTTTACGTTGCACTCAATTCCCAATCCTTTCCTTTCCACCTTGCAGTCATTAGGAATTTGACTAAGCTGTTTCATAAAACAGTCAGGGAACAGCAGAGCTGTAAATGAAAAGTGAAACTGAAACTGAAAGAGATCCACTTTTTTGGGTAAGTGAAATTTCATTTAATCATTCCAAGAAAAACAGGAAGAATCTGCTTCAACTACATTGCAAAGGCTTCAAAAAAGAAGAAAAATACAGTGCGATGGACATAGCCAGTCCAGGCTAGCCTAAGAAGAAGAGAAGAAAACAATGTTCTTCTTAACACTTTCGTAGCCCAGTCAAGCACTATAAACCGACTTCCAGGATCTGCTTTTTGGGGTCAGAGGTATGCACTCCGCAGTAGTTTCTCCCATATTGGCTTGCAATAGTTGCAAACATAGAATATTTGATCTCATCTTTCCTCCTTCACATAGCATATAGACAGCAGCTTCAGGTCTGTGCTTTAATGCCCAGGAGTTGACCCTAGATGGGGTACTCAATCTGTTTAGTGCTGTTAACCTAGCTATAAAAAATGTTTGTTAATACATAATTGGAACCCCATCAACCTATGCCATGCCACCGTTGATATTTTTTCTCCTTTTCCAAACCCAAGTTTCAGCAACTTCGTAATGTCCTGCCTGCTTATTAAGTCAGGGGAGATGTTATTACAGTGGCCTATTTGAATTTGCAGCAACATCTTATGTCTTGAGGGCCAGTAGCCAGTACCAGTTTCCTCCTCCAAAACTAGCTGCAACTTTTTCTTCTTCTTGAATAGCCGTCATAGATAAGCCTCCTACCCTATATGTGGAGGACCAGAGGAACTAATATTAAAACAACTCTATGCAATAGCCTATAGCATATATTTCACATTTCACATTTCACATACATATAGTTGCTATTAATTTTACATATTGGCTAGTTGGCAGGTAGGTCATTCTGGCTAGCAATGGCCGAAAGATGATCCTTTTTAGCGAAGATCCTCATATTCTTGGCCTTCCCACAAGGCACCAGCTTTAGCTCTTCCCCTCCGAGGGAACCACAATTCTTAGGCTGCGAAGTCGATGCTGCTCCGGAGCTAGCAGGATGGCAGCAGGCATGAAAAACAGAAGAGACAGACTTGACAAGTTTATCGAACATCATCATTTTGACTGATCTCCTCTTAGGCGGGATTACGGTCCACTTCTTGACTTTGATTATTGGTTGCTTTTCGGCTCCACCACCACGTTCTTCAACCAGGCTCTGCTCCATCTTCATCATTTATGTGGTAAATGTTTAGCCAGTATTTGAAGAGGACATTTAAGAGGAATAATGCATAACCAAGAAAGACAAGAGGCTTGGAAATCAATCGAGCGCCTGAGTGAGGGTCGAGGATAGCTCTTATAAGGTATTATGATTAACGAAGTGATAATCAAAGTCGACGGCTCAATGCGGTATGTGTTGGTTTGATTAGCAAGTGGGGACAGACCAAGACTTTTTTTATCTTTTGTTGTATGTAGCAGGATAACAACCAGTTGGCGGTCGCATTTCTGATTTGGGCCCATGTCTCACCGGCCCGGCATGTGTTTCTTAAATGTCAAAGCTCGGAAAGGAAATTGATGCAAGCAGCAAATCCACAGCGTAAAAGTGGAATATTCCAGCTATCCTATATCTGGTCATTCTCCTTTCTCTCTCTCTCTCTCTCTATATATATATATATATTGACATTGTTTGTCTTGACTATAAATATTGTCATCAATAGTAGAACAAAACTGTCCTTGATGCTCAGTTGCTGACTAAGTAATGTCATGTCTGTTTTAGCATAATAAACTCCACAATCTTTTTGAGAGTTTTGTGCTAAACTAATAGTTAATACTAAGGAAATAAAAAAGGGCGATTGATGCTTTAGTTCTGGAATATTGATAAATGACGACCTGAACAACATTTCAACACTTGAATTTACTGCTCGAGAGCTATGAGTCTTCATGAGAGTGACAGTTTTACTTTCAAGCAGATTCAGACAAATATCAGCTGATGAGCTTTATAGTACGTCCACCTTCTAAGAATTGCAGCTCCAACATTCAATTTCTTTCATTTCATGGATGGTTCAATCTGAGCAATCATATTCTTACGGTGAAAATTTAGGAAAAATAAATAGGATAACAAGCCTCCGTCTTGTTGTCTCGGATGCTCCTATGCTTGACCATTTATAATTGTATGTGTAACTTACTGCAGATCTCCCATTTCTCTGCCACCCACCCAAATCCCACCACACCCCTCCCCTCCCCACAACCCCACCAGACCCCAGCCCCCCCACCCAAAAAAAAAAAAGAGTCCTGAATATCTAATCAAAGTCATGAAGTCCATTCCACGCCTATCTCAAATTATCATTGAACCTTTAGTGGCCCCCCAGCAATCTTACTTTTCCGGGGAGAATTTGAAAGAAATTCCTGTCATGTCTTATTCTGGAATTTTTAGGGAGTACCATCATGGGAACAACCGAGGTCATGATGTTGGTGGAGATTTGGGAAGATTTAAAAGAAAAAAACTTACCATGGTTCTGATCCTAGAGAAAGGTTGAACAAAGCCTCTTCGGCTGATGAGGCTGCCTACTGGTCGTAGCTTGGTGATCTTTGATAAGCAGTACTTGATAATATTATGTATAAGTTGGGTGCATTTTCTAATGCTCATGGATAAGAAATACTATAGATGGGTGAAATTCAGAAAAATCATGTATACCACATTGTGATAAAAATTACATATACTAGTGTAAGTTACCCATCATGAATTCTTACTTAACTTACTCTGATTTTAAATATATATCTATATGATTGGCGCGCAGAAGCATTGTTGTTTTCATCATAAATATTTGAGAGTATTCAACTTCCATTTGACATTAAATAGACAATTAATGAGACAACAAAAAAAAATGGTCAAAAGACCTTCCTATAATCTCTAATTTTGTCAAATATAATCTTTATACTTAAAATCGAAACAATTTAGTTTATTTATTTTGAAAATTTTTTCAATTTCATCATTTTCCTAATGACATTTAATTTTACTACTAAAAAAGATGATATTAGTGATGATGTCAACGCTGACGTGACACTGACATGATGACGTGTAGACATGTCAAAATGGGCTTGGCCCATCTGGCCAGTTCATTTTTTTAAAAATATGACGCGGCCGGGCTTAAAAATTTAAGCCCATATTAAAACCGGGCTTAAACGGGACCCGGGTTGGTACGGGCTAGCCCGACGGGTCCAAAAAAATTAAGTCGTGGTGGGGGGGCGCGGGGGGAATCGAGAATCAAATCACCCAAAAGGACTCGTGGGAGCTGGATGGGGACGGGCCGGCCGCAGGGGGAATCGGGACTCGTGGGACTGTGGGAGGGGGGCAGGGCCGCAGGGGGGAACCGGGAATCGTGGGACTGTGGGAGGGGGGGCAGGGCCGCAGGGGGGAATCGGGACTCGTGGGAGCCGGGAGGGGGCGGCAGGGCTGCAGGGGGAATCGGGACTCGTGGGACTGTGGGAGGGGGGGCAGGGCCGCAGGGGGAACCGAGAATCGTGGGACTGTGGGAGGGGGGGCAGGGCCGCAGGGGGAAATCGGGACTCGTGGGAGCCGGAGGGGGGCGGGCAGGGCTGCAGGGGGGAATCGGGACTCGTGGGACTGTGGGAGGGGGGGCAGGGCCGCAGGGGGAACCGAGAATCGTGGGACTGTGGAAGGGGGGGCAGGGCCGCAGGGGGGAATCGGGACTCGTGGGAGCCGGAAGGGGGCAGGCAAGGGCCGCAAGGGGGAATCGGGACTCGTGGGACTGTGGGGGGGGGCATGGCGCAGGGGGAACCGGGAATCGTGGGACTGTGGAGGGGGGCAGGGCCGCAGGGGGGACCGGGAATCGTGGGACTGTGGGAGGGGGGTAGGGCGCAAGGGGGAATCGGGAGTCGAGACTAGTGGGACCAAAGGGAAAAATTTTTTTTTTGAAAAAAATGGGCTAGCTTGGCCCGGCCCGTGGGCTAACAAGGGGTGGGCTGGGTTGAACATTTTGTAGCCCATATAAAATATGGGCTGGCCCGTATAAAATATGGGCTGGCCCGACCCTGCCCATATTTTTTCAGCCCACAAGGGCTAGGGCCCGGTTGGGCGAGGCCGACCCATATTGACAAGTCTAATGACGTGACAATATAATGTGATATAATATGATGATGTGGCAATGCAGACGTAGCATTGACATGTCACGTGACAGATCAGAAAATTTTTAAAATAAAAAATTTACTACGTCATAAAGATTAAATTAAATAAAATATATAAAACATGAATTAAATTGAACAAACTTGAGATGTTAAGGGATGAAATTGAAAAATATTTAAATAATATAAATATTTAAGTAGATTATTGATATACTTATTAATAAGTAAATATTTAAGTGTAAAAATTTATGGTGTTCAAAAATATATAAATATTTTCTTACTTGATTATTTGATTCTAAAATATGTATATTAATTTATCTCTTTTACAAAAATTAAGTTTGAATTATCTTATAAAAAAGTTTTGAAAACATTTCATACTTAAACTCAATTCGATTAGTAATTTGCATTATATTATAATAAAATAATATAAATAAACAAAATAAATTCTTTTTTCTCTATTTATAATAAGATAAAAATTTAAAATTTATTTAATTAAATTTTTAACTTGAGCTAAACTCAAATTAACAAACATGATGATTAGTTATTACTTTCACAATTCCAAGCACCTATTCTTTGAAATTATTCAACTTTTAATTAATTTATCTTTTATTTAAATTTACTCAAAATTTTTTTATAAAATAACTTTATTTAAATTTAAATACCACAATTAAATTCTGTTAAATTTAAATTTAAATTATTAATTTGAATCAATAAAAAATTTATTAAAAAATTAAAATAATATAAATATTTACAATTATGTTTGACTTTATCAATCATAAGTACAATCTTTAATCTAAAAAGATTTCAACAAAAAAAAAACTTAAAATATTAAATAAAATAAAAATATAAAAAATAAAATAAAAATTAAAAAAATAAAACTGAAATTCTATGATTGTAATAAGAGATTTGTCAATCATTACTAGCTTCATATTTTCGTTCTTTATTTTTTTAAAAAAAACTAAATCAATTTATTTTACGCATTTGAGTTAAGCTTAAGTTAAAAATTAAATTAAATAAATTTTAAATTTTTTACTATTATAAATAGAAGAATGAACACTTATACCCATGGATCCTAAATAAAAATAATAAGAAACAACAAACAAAATAAATAAATCACTCTTAAGAAAAAACTAAAACTGACGATTTCAGTATGCCTAGTGTCTTTCTCCCACAATCAATTCATCATATATTCAGGCCTATGGCTACTTTATTGCTTTTCTAACCATCAATAGCCTACACATGGCATTTAATGCCTCTTGGTCAGTCCGAATTGGGTCACCTCCGACTGCCACCCCTCAAGATTTCTTTTACTTAGAGCCTCTCACTTGTAAAATTATGCTTAGAAGAGCATGATTATATAAATTATAAATTATAGTGTTGCACAGTTACTTAACATTTCATCAATGTATATTTTTTTTATTAATCTTGATTATATAAGAGAAAATTATCTTGAGTATATATTTTTTATATATTTGATGTTTTATATTTAGTTGAAAGGGAATTATCTTAAATATATAGTCTTATAAAAGAAAATTATTAATCTTATATGTTGCATTTAACTATTTATATTTTATGCATTATAGTTTTATTTTTAGTATTATAAGTTTAAATAGAAGTAAAATAAGAATATTGGATATTGACTACAATAATTTTTTTTTAAGTTTGGTTAAAGTATGAATAAAAAACAATTAACAAATTTTTTTTCAATAAAGATGCAAATTGTCTAAATAATTTTCTTATACTTGAACTACCAAGCCTCAATACTTCAATTCATAAATAAGAGCAATATGAATCAAAACGTCCAAGACTTAATATTAACGAAATGGATGTTTGTTAATATATAATTAATAATTGACGAATTTGAATTCAAAAAACATGGTCGAGTATTATTTTTTTAAAAGATTATTATAAGTCTTTATTTTCTTAAATTACATGTTATATAAAACTATTTTTTATTATCAATCTTTTGATTATTGATTAAATTTAACATATTGGTTTTTAAATTTGTAATCCTTATTCTTTTATCTTTAATCTTAATAAAAATTAATTAACTTCGACATACAATCAATCGTACCTGCTCAACTTCGTCTAACAATAGATTTTATTCAATCCATGATCTAGTTGCCTATGCACAAAGTGCTTGCCAGGTATTTGCAATTTTTTTTCTCGTTAATAGAGGATTACATTACCTGGTATTATCTTTTTGTTCGTTGTTAAAGTTTTTGATTAAATAAGCTCAATTTTCATTTTTTAAAATAAAATTACAAAGTTATTAAAATTTTAAAATAATATTTATCAATTTTAAATTTCAAAAATTTTAAAATATATATTTTGAAAATTTAACTCTATACAGTTTTTAAAATCAACATGAATTTAAGTAAAAAAGCATTATTCTCTTATTTAAAAGTTTGAATTTAATTAAAAAATAATAATAAATATAAAATCAATTATTAGAACGGAAAGAAAAGGCATGACTTGGGCTTAAAACATGAATCATAAATGGATTCGGATTTTTGAAAAATAATGATCCGACTCGATCGGGTCTATTGTTTCCGCTAAGTTTGAGAAAGAACAAAAGTAGATTCTCCAAGTGGGAGTGAAAGAAGAGTTGCAGAAGAGATGAAGCTAACGTGGAACAAGAACAAGATCAAGAACAACAAGAAGCGGTCCCTGGAAGCTATAGCACACTACCCAAACCTTCCTTTTGAACAGCGAAAACCAGATTCCCAGCTGCAGAGTGAAGAAACCGCAGCTTCTCAAAATCATGAGAACTCCTCTGCTGATTCTTTGGATTCTGACTCTAAACGACTTGCCCAATCTTTCCATGCCCAAGGCAACATGCTTGCTGAGGTATATACTTTGTTTCCCTTTATTTGCTTTTTCTTTTATATTTCTCCCTGTCCCATTTCCAATAAATTGATGTTAGGTGTTGAAAAAGATATAATCTTCATTGGCTGCTCAGGAAATGGCTTATATGATCCATTTTATGTATATTGTGTGCTGCTGATGATTAATTTTACTATTTCATTAATTGATTATGGGATTTTTGCCCTGTTTTCATTTGTGGTATTCTAATTTCTTTTTCATTGTGACATGTTCTATTCTCCCCCCTTAATTTTACTAAATTATAATGCAATGAGAGGGAATACCGCAAAAATGTTTTTAACCACTAAAAAGAATTATTACAAATTGCAAATCTAACAGGGAAAAAAGTAGAGTAAAATGGGGAAAGAAAAACTCGTGGGGTGGAGCTTAGCTATTTTTATATGGTTTATTACTACGCTGATAGTTTCCATTAACAAGAAATGGTGGCACCTTTTTTTGTGTTTATTATTCTATTTTGGCATACCTGATATGATGTATTCATTCTCGTCTCTCACTATTTTTGAAGGATGGGAAATACCGGGAAGCACTCGGGAAGTGGGAGGCTGCTCTAAATTTGATGCCCGAGAATGCAGTCTTGCATGAACAGAAGGCACAAATTCTACTTGAAATTGGGGATGCATGGAGTGCATTGAAGGCAGCGACTCGTAAGTTACAGTTCCTATTAACTACTTCACTTATGTTTCTTGATGCAGTTTTCAGTTAGTTGTATTTCAATGCTCTTTGATTTAAAGTTCCTTAGACAATAAGAGAAGTTCCAGAATGCATGCACAATGTATTCACCATGTTTCTGCCTTTGAATGTGTAATGCGCTACAGTTTTCTGCTTGTTTGTTTGTTTGCTGCATTATGAATATATAAGTTTGAAATTTTTGTATGCTTATCTGTGGATTCTACTTGGCAGGGGCAACTCAATTGGAACCATCATGGGCTGAGGTATGTCAGCCTTGTAACCTGAATATGATGTCAAATATAAAGCTTTATTGTTCACCTTCAGAAACTTCATATTCCCTTTATAACTCTGTTCTATAAACATGATGCTTATAATTCTTAAAGGATTTGGAGCAATTGTAACTGATAGTTTGGTGTATGCCTGCAAAATTGAGCTCCTTTGCATGATTTTACACTTGCACTTTATAGGCTATCATTAAACTAATGATGCCCTCAAAGCTGCACAAATTTAATGGGTGAGGAGGAAAAGAATTTGTACTATTGATCCGTAAATTTGGTTGACTTTCCATGTGGCAGCTTCGGTAGGTTTCCCATGTGTGCTACCTGTATGGTGGTCGCTAGCTAATGCTGACAATTTATATTTGAATGGTTTCTTCTGTTAATAACTTCTTTACATCTAGTTTTTAGTCAAAAGTACACTTCTGTTATTTTAGTTTTGTTCGATGCTAAAGGGCTCTTTTATTGCCCATGATATTGGATTGTTTGTCAGGCATGGATCACTCTTGGTAGAGCACAATTAAACTTTGGAGAACCTGATAGTGCCATCGAGAGTTTTGATAGAGCATTAGCTATCAAGGTACATTATCAATACTTGTCATTTTTCAGTACTTTGTCTGGTCCCTTATTTTGAGTGAGTGTGCTGTGTCCTAGATCATTGAGCTGCTGCTTATAGTTTTCAAGTTTGTTATCCCGGGCAAGAATGAATTTTGTAGGGCAAAGCCAGGTACTGAACTGTTTTGACAAGTTTTTATCTCCTTGGAAATGCCAATCAAAGTAGATTATGCAAATTGTTGAACAAGATCTTGAGTTTTTGCCACATGAAGCCTCTGTGGACTCTGCTACTGGATAATCATTTCCTAGTTTTGGCTCTTACCATATTCTACACCCTAGTAATTACGAGGGAGGCTGCCTTCTCATAAATCTGTTTTGATTTTTACTTTATGCTATTATTTGTGTTCAGCTATTATGTTCTCGGGTTTATTAAAGTCTTTAAGTTTTTGCAGCCTGATTCTGTGGAGGCACAAGATGACAGGAAAACTGGAGTGCATCTTATAAAGAGAAGAAAGCAGCTTCATTCATCAGGCTTGAGTTCTGACGAAAACCGTTATATGGTAGGTGACAGGACTGAGGCCTCCTGATTGTACATGAGAGCAACTGTTACTGATGGGAGGAATGATGTTTGGATTTTCAACCCTTGGAGGTTTCTAAATGGAAATTCAGTCAGTGTGTAAAGAATATACCACCACCATGGTGTGCTCAAGTTATCATTGGAGTTAGAGGGAGACAGCTTTATGGCAGACACACTTGAATTTGCTTAGAATTCAGTTGCAAGGGAGAATATTGTCGACAGAATGTTACACTTTGGCTCGTGAAAGTTTGTGCAAATGGAGGATGTTTCGCCTCTAGGAAACCTTTGTTAAATTTAAAATATGACACAATGTACAGAATTTCTGCCAAGAGCATGTATAATATTGGACATTATTGGAAGACCTCATTTTCTGTCAGCTTCAAAGTATCTTTCAAGGACAAAAGAAAACAATGAGAAGCTAATATATTAACTATTAAGTTGTGTGCATTTAACGGCAATCCTGACTCTTGTATGAGTTTCTTTTGGCCTTAGGTACGATGATCATATTGTCCACTTTAGAGCTCATGTTGTTAAAACAATTCTATTATATAGCCTTGGCAGTATCCCTGAGCATAAACTTGTTAACTTTCCCAGTTGAAGTCTTAGGAAGCTCCTCCTTGAACACTACAGTTTTAGGTGCCATGTAATGCGGGAGCCTTGTCCTGCAAAACTCTATTATCTCCTCCTCCGCCGGCGTTTCACTCAACTCATCCTTCAAGCATACAAAAGCACAAGGCGTCTCACCCCAAAGCTCATCCGGTCTAGCCACCACAGCTGCCTCGCTGATAGCCGGATTCGAGTACAAAACAGACTCAACTTCGGTACTGCTTATATTCTCTCCTCCGCTTATGATCACATCCTTGGATCGATCCTTCACCTCCAAATAACCATCAGGGTGAATAACACCGATGTCTCCAGTGTAAAACCAGCCATCCTCTCGCATGCATGAAGATTCAGCTGTTGGCTCCTTCAGGCAACCAAGCATTATTGGCCCACCTTTGAAAACAATTTCTCCGAGCGATAGACCATCTTTTTTTACACTAACTCCTCTCTCAGGATCCACCACATCCATTTGCATTAACCCAATTGTTCTCACCCCTTGCCCGGCTCTTAACCTCGCTCTCTCTGACGCAGCCAATGTGCTCCATTGTGGTTTCCATGCACATGACACAACGAACCCAGCTGTCTCAGTTAACCCATAGCTATGACTCACTCTAAAACCCAATGACTCAGCCTGCAACAGCAATGGTGCTGGCACTGGAGCCCCTGATGCAAGGAATTGGACCGGTTTTTCTAAATGTTCATTGGTGGGAGAATTTGATGCTAACATTTTAAGCACAACTGGCGCACCACACTTATGGGTAACGTT